ATGACCATCATCATCATTCTTCCCATTATTTATGTTATTTATTTATATGATTGGAACTCTGTGGACCTTGCGGTCTACAGAGGAGGGGAAAATATACTAATACTTCACAGCGCACCAAAAGCAACCATCAAATCCCATCCACACAAAGAAACAAAACTCACGCAGCGCTGACTGTCAAGTCTGGGATTATATTAAACATCATCTTCGTTCTCTTTTGCTCTTACGCACTAAAAAGAAGCAAATAAAAATCCACCAAGGAAGAGCAGAGAAGGGAAAAGAAAAAGGTAACGAAAAGGTAAAGGAGCGAAGATAAAAATAAAACAGGAAGAAAAGCATTTAAGGAAATAAAAAAAAATGAAAATAAAAATAAAAATTGAAAGCAGTTGACAACTCTCTGTAACGCCGAATTAGAGCGCAGCTCTTGAGGAGGAGTAGGGAAGGGTACTGAGGGGGGGGGGGTGTTCTTCCATTAACACTTCAGTCTAGGAAATATTCGCCTCACAACACAAAAATTTCTCACCATACCTTGTAAACTTCACAAGCGTTTGGTCATTCAAAATATAGTACAAATGAGGAAAAGCTCTCTATTTTACGCTATAACGAACGAGCTAGACGCATTGCTAGTGTCAAGCGATGGTCGCCGGTAGTGCCACTCGACTCCAGAAAAGCAAGCCTCGATCCGCGATCCAGCCAACTACAATAAACATCAGTGAAGGAGAAGCGAAAAAATAAGAGACGTCAAAATGAAACAAACATTCTCAAAAAAAAAATGTTTCATCGAACAGAAATTTTAGGTTGTTTCTAAATGCGAACTGAAAGTGCATCTTCGCGAAAATCATTATCCTGGTTATCCTTCTCTTCACAAACTCTCCTATGACGTTCCCAGCTGGGCGTTCACCACGCCTCCTAGCATCGATAATATAAACCTGTATGCAGACGAAGAGCAGGCCGGTGTAGGAGACAGCAAACACACAACCGCCCATCGTGCTCTTTTTTTTTTTTTTAAGTTTCAATAGGTTTGAGTTGAGCTTTCAAAAAGGGAGACATAAACCTTTTTACAAAACGACGTTCGCGAGCTTAGTTTTAGGTAAATACGTTTGGAACAGGAATTTCGCCACGCGTGCCAAATGTGCTCATCCTTAGAAACTCACCATGCATTTATTCGTTTTAAGTACTTCCTAAGGCTCCAGTGGGGCATCACATAGAGATTGCAGTGTAAACAACATTTCAATATTTATATAAAATATATTATAGCAAAATATGGGATCCCGCCAAAGCGATTATCAAAAGATAAATTCACAAGGAATAGACGACTCATCGCACACAGATTAGAAAATTTCACAAAAAAGACATCTGAAGTGCTGTTGCCAAACAAACGATAAACAGGTTTACAAGCTGTGATTCGCCGTTGAGAGTCAAGCAGTAGAAGTAATCGTGACTTATGTTTAGAGCTAGTTCACTTGACAACTCATTCTAGTAAGTTGTGCTCAGAAGTAATGGAAAATATTTTAACGAATTAATTCTGCCAAAAGGAATGTAAACTTTGTAAGGGCAATAATCACAATAAGAAATGCGAGCAGGTGGTAGAATGTTATCTTTGCGAAATTGAGGGGCCCTACGAAATATTTTCTGCAAACGGGACAATCTTTCGAGATATGATCTCTGATGCGCTCTAAAAGGCCGTCAAAGAAGACTACCTTTGGGCTGGTCAAAGTCACCCCACATATAGACCGACACGCGGAGCGGCTCTGTTTACCAACACGGCCGGAAGGTCGCGCATGCGCGGTAGTTATGTGGGCAAAAGCGACCCGGCCCTCCGTGTTTTCGCCATTGCGTTGTGTGGCGTGCGCTCGTTGTTGACGTTGTAGGGACGCTTCTAGCTTTATTTGTGTGTCGTGTTTTCTGACAACGTATGTCGTTTTTTTGTCCCGACTATTTGAGCTCGCTACCCAAGCCTGAACGGCGGCGGTATCGAAACAAACTCTGCGTGGACGGCGTTGCCTACGAGGATTCGTACGCCGTAAACAAGGCGGGCTGGACTTCCGACGTGAAGTTGCTGCCACCGAGGTCGACGGCTAACGTCGTTGTTTATTTAGATTTTTCACCCAGCCAGTTCACGGCCGACACGGAGCAGGCGTACAAGTCTCTCGAGGCTTACGATTACTTCGATTCGGTTTCCGCACCGCCGGCGGGATCAGCAGACTGTGGGTCTGCGGAAGCGTATTTATTAATTGAATAAATACACACAGTGTCTTCAATCAAGGTATGCTATTTTACCTACTCTCATGACCACAAGGCATGACGAGCAGTAACGCTTTGTCCGTTCTGCAGTATTGGCGGTAACAGGTTACAAGTAACGGCGTTACCAGGAACGCGTTACTTTTTTCAGTAACGTAGTAACCTACTCGTTACTTTTTTGACACAGTAATGGGTACCGTACTTACGTTACTATTTCAAGTAACGTAGTTACGTTACTCGTTACTATTATTTCACTTCAATATTTTCCGTGTTTTAAGCGTCAAGCCATGTTTTCCTTTGCGTTTTTTCTCGTGAGTATTTAGGTGAAACCGTAAAAAGAGATAAAGTAATTATGTTCAGTTTCTGCATGAACATAATGTTTCTTGATATATGAGCTTATGCATACCTGTAGCGTCAAAACCGTAAAAGTTTAAATCATAATTTAAAAAGTAACGCAGAAGTAACGTGCGTTACTTTTTATCAGTAGCGGTAACGCGTTCCTTTTTTTAGGCAACGTAGCGCAGTAACGCGTACCTTTGATTTGCAAGTACCGAGTAACGTATTTCGTGACTTTTTTTCGGTAACGCCTACAACACTGCCGTTCTGTCGACGATCCCCTTCCCCTTGGTAGCACGGGCGTAGCGAGCCTCCGACGAGAGCTTGGCCGGTGCTTTGTGCGCGAACGCCGTGGGAACGAAATCCGGGTGGTCTCGATCAAACGAAGGTTTCGCTGCACATAAGCAAGCCTCGGGACGGAGATTGAAATGGAAGCCGCACCTGCCTTCAAGAAAGTGCTTGCCGCACAAACGGTCGTTCGCGCGAGGCGACCATAATTTTCGATACACGGATATTATCCACCTTCTATGCCTTTCAGAGGTTGCCGGAAACTTGTAGAAGCTCACTCCGCTACTTTTCTTTTACATTTCGGTGAGATTAACGGCAACACAGCTCCGCGGCATGCTGAACTGCTATGACGCCCATGCTAAACGTGCTCCGTTTTGCCCACACCCCCCCCCCCCCCCCCCCCCCCGGCTCCGGCACGAACGCAGCGCCGCCGCAGCGCCGTGACGTCAAGCCCGCGTGTCGGTCTATAAAGACCCCTGGAGTCAAAATGACGAATCCACATGTGTCAAACATCCCGTGGTCCAAAGTAACAGCCAACCTTTTAAAAAAAATAGGGCGCATATTCCTATTTGGCGCCTTCCACGTGCTATTGGACACTTTAAACATTAATTTCCAAAGTCTGGTACTGTACCTACATAAGTTCACTAACGACGACCATGTGAGTGCCCGAATCGCCGGGACTTCCCTCGACGGCGTCTCGTTAAATTGGCTGTATTTCTACAGAATAAAAAAAAACGCCCCCCTCCCTGCCCCCCCCCCCCCCCCTCAAAAAAAATCATTATACACGAGAAGTGGGGAGGGTGACTTCAATAAACACAACGTATGCTTGCCGAGACCGACGACGAATCGCTCTGCACATTCTGTGGACACCCAACAGATGCGTTGCACCCACCGACGCTACCGCTGTTCATTTTTATTTTTCCAACGCTTCCTGTTTTCGCCCACCTTTGCCGACATGAGTTATCCATCCGCGCGCGTGTATACCTGCACTTCGCAGGTCTTGTACACAGAACGCTCATTCAGGGAGCTGGGTTGCACGATTATCACGATCGTTATCGAACCCTGGACACCAGCTGTTTCAGTTGCTCCTGTAACACAAAAGAAAGAGGAAAGCTCAATGCTCAGCTTCTCGAATTAGGCGACAGCTAGGCCGCCTACTGTTCCTGCACCAACATTTATCGCGTGGTATTCTCTGAACGTGCAGATTCGATTTTGCCAGTGAGCTCCGCCGTCGCGCCGCCATCTTGGAGGTCACGTTTTGCGTGTTCTTGGTACGGTGGCTTTGGCGATCGACTGAAAGAAAGGGAAACGCTGAAAGAAACGGTCAAACGAGAGGCGACACGCACTGCGTCCAACCAGGCAGGAGAACGAGACCTCCAAGATGGCGGCCGTGGTGGTCGATGCCAGCTCACCTAGCGAATGACGTCATGTGAATGGCACCTATAGTGAAATTACTGCAGTAATCGCTACATGGGCTAAAGAAAAAATATATTTGTGAAACGATAACTAGGGATCAAACGCTCATTAAAAGTTTCATCCATTTTTTGGAGACATAATTAACTTCTGTGCACAAGAGCATATTAAAGTCAGTTTCGGGTTGTCCGTGCGAAAATTCACATTCACGTGGATTTAAGTCCCGGTTTTCAAAAACGGTTAGAAACCAAAGCATTTATATTCTAAACATTTCAGATGCAAGTTAACAATCGGTCAAATCAATTAAGTTCGCATTAAGAGCAAAAGATCAACGCGGCAATATCTTCAGCATTTAGTTCTTAAGATATGCTAATCTCATGATTTAGTAGCAGGAGGAAGTTGGAATAGTGTTTTGGGTTGTCGAAATTTCGCAACAGGTAGATACGTCGGAAGCATCTTGACGAGGTAGGTTGCCTAGTCGGTGAGCTTCTGCTGCTTGTGTATTTCCCTTCTATTAATCCATTTGGCGCTTTTTAATTGTTTAATGTTTACCGTAGTGTTTATTTTCTAGTTCTTTGCACCTGCCTTGGGTCAACGAACGCTATCCGGAAGGAAGTGCGAAAGCACATTTAACAATATTAAAACAGACGAAAAAAAATCATTGAGAGATAAAGAAGAGCTCGAAGCGTACATCGAGCCACGCACCTCACGAGAGAAGTCGTAAAATGAAAACATACGTATTGGTTTTGATCATCTTCTACTTAAAACACAACTCTGCATCTTCTCCTCGCTTAACCGGTATGTATCTCGCATGCGTTAATGAACTGTATCTGAGATATAGAGCGTTCTAACAACTAGAGGGACGGAAACCATTGTAAAGTTCAAGATTATACAGCTACATTATGCTTAATATGCAATATTCGACGTATTTAAGCTGGATTTTGTTGCAAGCTATAATGTAAACCATATTTCCCTTTAAGCATCTTACGAGCAAGTTCAATTCAAAACTTTTTTCTCTAGTTAGCAATGGATAGAGGCTTTCGTTTTACATCCTGCTAGCTTTTTGTTTTACATCCCGGAGCTAAATTAAGTGCATTGATTGGCTACAATTATTCTACACAGCATGACCTTCTACTGAATCCACGTAACCATTACCAATAATATGTTTCTAATCCGTTTTGTTCAGAGTACTGTGGACTTGTTACAACAACGCCAGACTTTGTGATAAGCGAACGCATTTTGAACGGCACAAACGCAACTCTTGGAGCTTGGCCATGGATGGTTGAAATTTTAGAAGATGACGAACACCGTTGCGGTGGAGCCCTGATTACCTCCCAACATGTCCTAACAAGTGCTCACTGTCTAACGTAAGCAATTTTAGATCTATTATTCTGTAACGTTCTTACTGAATAAATACCAGAGCAGCCTAAAATAGTTCATTTAGGTGTAAAGATAAACTACAGTTTCACAAAACTCGAGAAAAACAAATTGTCGGTGATACGTTCCTTCAAAGCACTTTCGATTTTTCGGATAGTGGTGAGCACGCGGGTCATAGTTCGCACCTCGTACATAGTAGTCACTTGGCGAGCCACAAGACAAGCGACGGAAACCCACTTTGCTGTCGCTCGGTCAGTTGAGCGACGAGGCAAACCGCAAGAAAGCGACGGGAGCAAGTGACCAAGGATATGACCGTATTTTCTAGAAATTCAAAAAACGGACTAACGCGACGAGCGACAGGGAGAAATCCTTGCTGCTCGTCGCTGACTCTCGTCGCTGTCGCAATCCCGTCGATCCCTAAATCGTTTACATGGGATTCAGGCTTAAACGCTCGTATTTATAGATAACGCAACCTCTTAGCCGAGACCGCCCGCGACCACCGCGGTTTATTAAAATTAACATCATGTTTTTGTATATATTTGTTTACAACCACCATTGCAACCAGAATGATGAACTAAGAAATCAACACAATTTTATGAAGTGAAGCGCGACACATCGTACGGATATTGATCACACAACGCGCGAACAAACGTGATAGGTAAATAAAACTTGACAGCGTACTTGCGATATAAACACCAAAATCTAAATGCAGGCGTCGCAGAGCAAAATCCCAAGTAAACCCTTTGGAAGTAAAGTTGATACACTACGGCCCATCCCGCTGCTCCTGAATCTCGAAATGGACGTCTACCAGAGACTCCCGCAAACGAGAGCGAAAAAAGCTGGAGCAATTCATAGTCTGTAGGCAGCGAGCCCTGCGGCCAACTCCAATCTTGTTCCTGCTCTCCGGGTCAACCGGATTGCCACTTCGTCGTCCTCGACACGTACCGCTTCCTCAGGCCAAGTTCATCGCTGCCTCACCTGCCTCGGGAGGACTGCCTTCGCCCCTGTAACCAGGTGCCTCTGATAAACATCCTCTTGGAAGCCACAACTGCTGCTGCGAACCAGTAAAGGCCGCGTAGCCAGTTAAGGCTCCAAAAACCAACCCAGCGGCCCAGCAGATAGGCTCAGTTCGTTTGAGCGAGAAATCTCGCTTCTAACGTCGTATCGACGCGGCCACGGAAAAGGATTTCGCGACCCTCGCTGATTTCCTCGAACACTCATAATTCTTGATTGAACTGTAACCGATTCACAGCACGTCGACGCGAAAAAAGATTCACCACATTTCCTACGCAGCCCTGGAGCCCGTTTTCCACCGTGTCCACTTTTCCCTCCTAGCGGTCCAAACGGTCCAAACTGTTCGCACGACAAAAGCAGGAAGGGTGAGGTGAGCGAGAGACGGCTTCAAAGCTGAACGGCTTTGGCTCAGCCCCTCCCCTTTTCAATGATCTGGTATGGCCATTCACCAGGCAAAAAATAGCCCCCCCCCCCCCCCTTGCTGCCGCCATGTTGTACAATTTTGACCACTAGACACGTGACCGCACCAAATCCCGAGGCTTTTACGCAAAACAGAACCGAGATTTCTTTTGCGATAACTGTAAAAACCTGATAAACTATTTTTCAATACTGTTAGCCCCAGAGATCAGTGTCTAGTTTGTGGAAATTCTCTTGCTGCTATCCATCTCAGGGAATTACACAGCACACCGGTTCAACATCATGTAGACATTTAATGACAGTTATCGCCGCGCCGCGATCCCTAGATCCCCTGGGCATGCACTGCCGCGGCCTTTTATCAGCAACGGAGCGTCGCTCTCGTGGCCAGTTGCCCTTGGCTTCCTCGCGGTGAAGATGACCAATCATGATTGTTGGAGAAGCAACCGGGGCCAAACGCCATGCATCCCCAGATTGCCCACACGATCCCCCTCCCCCTCCTTTCAAAAACAAAATACGAGACATCCTAGAAGTACCTGTGGGCCTTCCTTTTGGGTCAGCAAGGGTATTTGCAGATCGGCGAGCACGGGACCGACATCACTACTTCTGATCAGTACCGATGCGGCTCTGGTGGGTCTGATGATGGGAGCTGTGTCGCTGCCGCTGCGTGTCTGGCATGAGAAACTAGAAATTAAAAACAGCATGAGGCCATGGCGCGACAGGAATAAGTGGCCGCGGCCATGAACCACGCCTGCCCAACGGCGCACGAGAGAACGGCTACTTTCCCTTTCCCACGAAAAACTGAAGAGGCCGTAAATATAAGCCACTTAGAGCTCGTGATACTTTTCCTCGTCTTCACCTACCTCTCAAGTTGTATCGCAGCAGACGGTTTGGAATCTTCCGAGAGGTGGTCCGAATTGTCGCCATCTGGAACCTGCGACACATCTACCTCTTCGTGTTCATGAAAAGCTTTTAGGTACGCAAGATGAATAGACCCGCACACTTCACCAGATTCACAATGCACCAGCTCATAAGACATGTTGGAGAGCTTCTTACCAACATGGTGGGGAGCTTCCATCTCCTTGCAAAAGAGGCCGTAAAGCCTTTAGTAGCATCACTCAGCGGATAAGTTCGCCCTCAGCACCAGATCTCCTACCTAGAACTGCAGATGTCTCAACTCCTTGTATTAGTTTGCCTGCTGCAGTCTCGAGACGTCGAGGCTCCCTAGAGCTTCACGTAGGTTCACGTAGGTTCACGCAGGTTCTCCTTGAAACGCTTCCGAAGTTCATCTGACAACTGCGTGGTAGTTCGGTGCATGCTTACAGGATCTGTGCAAAGAAGGACGTTTCCCGGGGGAAACACGAGCTTTTTCCCAAAGTTAAGTTGAGCCGGAGTAAAACCCATGGACCGGTTGATTGTTGCCCGGCTAGCGAATGCCATTTCTGCAAATTTGGCATCCCAGTCTTTGCTTAGCTTTGTATGCGCTACAAGTACCAGCTTCAGGTTACGGTTGACTCTTTTCGTGATTATCCCGTGTGGATGGTACGGCGAAGTCCGCTTGTGTAGTCAACAACGTGTTTTTTAATATCTTACACACATCCAAAAACATGTTGTTAAGAAAATAAGAAAAGTTGTCTGTAATATGCTTTGCGGCAAAGCCAAAGCGCGTGAACATCTTGAGAAGTCAGTCCCAGATTTTTCTAGAGACCATTTTGCGCAAAGGAAGCATTTCGACCCACTTCGTGAAATGGTCGGTCACTACCCGCAAAATATTGAGTGCCGCGTGGACAACGGGGAAAGGGCCGACAGCGTCACAGGCAACACATCCCCAGGGGTACTTGCTTTCGACCGACTGTATTGAACCTGATGGTTAGCCACCTCGGGGTCTCGCCTTCTGAGAAACCGTGCATTTACGTGTATGCTCATTACATGTGGCCTCATGGCTGGCCACGTTGCAATGTGGGATAACTTTTTGTAAGTTTTGCTCCCACTGCTGTGGCCTGCCAAGGCGGAATCATGCATATATCTTAGAAATGACTTACGCAGTTTACGTGGTATCGCAGTCCGGAATGACGGTCCGCTAGACCCACCGTCCGCCAGGGGGTTGTACCATGAGCAGGATGCCGTAGTTGCTCAGCAGGTATGAGTCCAAGTCTCTGGGATTCGCAGCGTCGGCTGCGTCTTCTTCTGCCAGCTAGTACATCACCTTCTGACGAAGTCCATCCGACAGATGGGCCCGCCCGGATTTCCTCTCTACTCACCAGGGTACCCCACCGCGAATCTGGCGTGATGGGCGCCGCATTGCCCCGTGCGACCAAGTCGGAATTCATCTGCATATCCTGCCCGAAAAGTGAAGCACGGGACAACACATCTGCAACGCGGCTAGCGACTCCACGCTTGTATTCGGTTGTGTACTTGTACCGCTGGAGCAAAAGGGCCCATCGAGCGAGTTGTCCTGGAGGATTTTGAAGCCCTTTAAGCCGCGAGAGAGCCATGTGGTCAGTTCGAATGCAAAACGAAGCGCCGTGAAGGTACATGACAAACTTCTTAAGCGCGAAATTAATCTTCACACACTCTTTTTCGGTTACTGAGTAGTTTCGCGCCGCTTCGGTTAGCGTATGCCTAGCGAAAGCTACGGGAGGAAAAACGCTGTCATGTTCCTGCAAAACAACGGCTCTTGTAACTTCGTCTCACCCTACGATGGACTAAAGGCAAAAGCGACGGACTGCCAGACCTAATCACGAGTCACTCAGAAATTGCGTATTGCGCTTTGATGCACCTATCAGTGCCCGCGTTTCGGATTACTGATGGAAATGGGCGGACAGTGGTTCGAATCAAAATAGCGCTCAGTGACTGAACAATTTTGCATTGCAAAAAACAAGCTGTTTGCAGTGTCGAAGCTATAGAAATGATGCAGCGTTTTTTTTTGGGTTTGGAGCATTATTAGTACACCCCTAATCGATGCTAGGCATGTCATAGTGTAGCGTGGAACGTGATTGGACCTGGCGGCCCGTGGCTTTGGCCTTTGGTCCATCGTAAGATGAGACAAAGTATAGTCCGTCAATGCTTGCGTCGGCCTGCAAGATCAACGGACGGTTTAAGTCGGGCAGATTTAAACATGCGTTTTCAGTCACAGCCTTTGAGAGGCACGCAAATACGGTTTGTTCCTGTCAACCCCAACACCACTTCGTTTTTTTGCGAAACAATGGGTTCAGAGGTTCCGTTATCTCAGCGCATTGCGCAATGAAATCTCCAGAAAACGGAATCATCCCGAGATACCTCTCTAGGCTTTTGACGTCATGAAGGGGTAAATACTCCGTTATTGCGCGAAACTTATCTTCATTAGGGCGCAGCGTGACGCTGTCTACAACAAAGCCAAGAAGGTTGATTACGGACGAGGCCAACTGAGTTTTATCTGAATGAATCATACACTGTTAGCAAAAATAACACGCCCAGACGTGTAAACCGTTATCCCATAGTGGACACGTCAAAACTTGTTCGTTTTACACGCAGCCATGTGTGTTATTCGTCTACACACGAGGTGCCGTGTAAGCTTAACACGTTACACCGTGTCTGCCTTCCCCGAAGCATGGTTTAAGCGTGCCAGCAGCCGAGAACAGGCGAGAGACGAGCCCCGTGAACCACGCAACTTTCAGCTGAATTGAAAGCACACAGGACGCATTTGTTCTCGTTCGCTGTCTTTTATACACAGTAAACAGTCAACGTAGCTACGTGCAAAGGTACAGCTGCAACGGAAAAAGAGTAGCACAAGTGACCGACGACCGGAGCGGCAAAATCGCGACATGCGGCGCTATTGTTCCCGAGCGCGCCGATAGCGAGAGTGCCAGTCACGTTCCATGTTTTTAGCGCGGGGGTGGCCGGCAGAAAATTGAGAGATAAGATAGCTGTTAAAATGAGGGCTTTAGGATGGGCTGTTTTTTGCCGGCCACCCCCCCGTAATGAGACATGGAACGTGACTGGCACTCTTGCTATCGGCGCGCTCGGGAACAATAGCGCCGCGTGTCGCGATTTTGCCGCTCCGGTCGTCGGTCACTTGTGCTACTCTTTTTCCGTTGCAGCTGTACGTGTACGTGCGTCGTCGGCGGTCTACGGCGTCGGTAGCTACGACGGAAGGAGCCGCTAGGCAGAAAAACGAATGCCGAACTCACATGGATAAATAGCTCGAGGAAACTATTTGGAATCAGGCGGTAACTTACGCCACCTAGCGAGGTTTTTAGCAGCCTTTATAAAATAGTCTTAATACGCTGCGAACAATCACGATTACCCAGCAACCCTACCTACATCGCAGACAACACGAGTACCACGTATTACACAGTACCGACATGTACACAAACCCAACAATGACCCAACAACGACACAAACACAACAACGACACTGCACCCGACACTTAAAACTCCACATTCATTTCTCCCCGCGGCGCATATAAGCTTGACATGTGAGAGTAAACTCTTTGGTTGCTGGCCGTTACAGATTTATAGAAGAAGACAGAAAATACGGCGCAATGGACAGCCGTCTGTTAGCACTGCTTGCGTTTAAAAGGTCTGGAGGCAAAATCTATAATGTTAGTCCGTTCCGACAAATAACGATATATTAACAATAAATCTTAAACCGGTCATGAAAAAGTTCAAATTTTTGTTATTTTCTTGCTCGACCAGTGTTATGAGCAGTCCGACTAGCTTGAATCAGATAGGAAAACAAATTATTGGGATTCTGACATTACGTATACAATAATAAATGGAAATGATCCTTGCGCAAATCATTTTTTATATGTTTTTGTGAAGGACATCCGCCCAACAGTTTACTTCCGCTAGTTGCAGTACGGGGGCGTTTTGATGCAGTTTATTGTCGTATGTCCTGTTTATGTTGAGTGGAGCGGTGGGGCTTGGGGGTTTGTGACTGGTGTCATTCGTGATCACTGGTGTGGCGCTGATGCGTCTTTTTTTTTTTTTTTTATACTGCCATTATCAGGTTTACGGGCCCGTAGCACTGCATTATGCTGAATCGCGAGCTCCATCTCTGTTGACGTCGCTTTCCTGGTACCACTCGTGGATACTGCAAGCGTTTAAACAATGTGCACCGTCTCGCCTACATCCCCGATGACGTACTTGACCTGTTGAAACTTATTGCTTTCGTCATTTTGGAGTACGCAAGGCAGTTACCTCGTTGCTCTGGTTTCGGTTGTAAAAGCGAGGCAAAACGCTCGTAGTTCTCCCCCTCAGTGCACGTTGGACATCTGTCACACTTTCACACCGGATAACTGGATGAACGAGGATTTACGTTTACTTCAGAGGTCACTCTCGCTGCTTCCTCACCGTTGAGCAGCAGGATCAGCTGGCGACAAGACCCCGATGAAAGGCTTGAGCATCAACAGCCCAAGTGCACTCGGTGCCGATGGGGGCGATGCGGGTTTCTGTCGACCTGGAGGCCAGCACAAACCGCGACCGTTCCAGCTCATCGTCGTGACACGGTGTTGCAGAGAGCAGGGTAAAATACAACTACGCGGACCACCGAAGCAAACGCACTGCTATCGTAAATCTTGGCTTGTGATTGCGCCTTTGTAAATGATCTTATTTGTTTTGCTGGAGAGACGCAAACGAAGGGCATAACAAAATCGCTTGCATATTCCGCATACCTCGCAAAGGTATGCGGTCACCTTGCGAAAAGTACGAAACACGGAGTCCGCACCGTCCTAAGCTTCCCCTGTCTTTTACCGGCTTTAGAGCAGTTTGTACCTGCTAGTAGATATGCCTACTGAAACTGAAACAGGGCAGTGCCAGAGAGAAAAGAGACAAAGCTGGGGAGCTTGCTCGCTCTCTCCAATTTCTCAACTCTCAAGTGATTTTGCCATAATAAATGCACCTACGCCTCTCCCCAAAATAAAAAGCACTACGCTCACTACATAAAAAATTGTCTCAGCTCATGCATCTGTGGGCAGGTAGGAAATCTTGCCCTAATTTATTCACCCCGCATGATGAGCGCAACAAACTCGCACGCAATTTACTGGAAAATATCAGTGGTGACTTAAGTTTCCCTGAAATTCTGTATAACCGGTCGTTTGCAGGACCGAATCATCTACTCGAGCGGTATGCGTCGCGGTGCAAGCACGTCACTGTGCAAACGCAGTCCAACACCAAGCATAAAAACGGCAGATTTAGGACAACAATCCGGAGTTCATTGTTCAATTAAAACGGCGTAATTTTGGTTAAAACGCCCGCAGCTTTTTACTTACTGTATGCGTCGGGATACTTCAACATTTTGAAACGGAACGAAGAAAGATTTATTTTTAAAAACGCTCGATGCGTCCTCTCGGACCAGCTGAACCGGATCAGCTGACGACGGCGGGACTGAACCCGTTGAATCTCAACCCCACAACAACCAATTCGCGCTCCGTGTTAGTGTGGGTTGCTACCTCCAAGCACCGCATCAACACCACGAACGTTTCAGCTTTTTTTCGCACCACCGTGTTGCACTAAACAGAACAAGATCGCCAAAGTCAACGTTGTCGTGAACCTGCGCTTGTGGTTGCGCACTCGTGAACCCTGTGACTCCCGTCGCTTTCAAAGCACACGCGACGATTATGATTGATACTTTCCGTCTTCCGGGGCTATCACCGGGGCACTTCTCCGGTCACGGCTTCGCAACATGTGCTTGCAAACCGACGAGCTTCTCGCGTCCCGACAAACCCAAACAATACCGGCGCCATATTAAACTTGCGTTGTTGCCAGATTTTCTCTGACCAAACAAAAACAACGAAAGCAAACCGGCTCTAGCTTCCTGAGGAGGGTGCATGGGAATTGGCGGCATCTTCGGTTGCAGTAGAAGGGTTGAAGCAAAAACGAAACCAACTGCAATGTCAAGTGTTCAGATCAAGGGCACGCTTTTTATATCCATTTTAACTGTTCAGAACGAATAATTAGACCCATAACTTTATTTGTGGTGTGTAAGAAACTATTGTCAAGACCCCTGAAGTAAACACAAGCATGGGCGACCACAGGGAAGCCGCATTGCCATCGACCAGAATCAATGGCAAGAATGGCAGCGATCGCGGTAAGCGCGGGGTTCGCCCCGTCCCGCGACATGGCGTAATTGCTTTTGGTGCAAATCTGTCTCCGAGACATGTTCCTTTCCGCCGCATTCAACTCGACGGTCCTTTCTAGGTGCGTTCCAAAGCATTCCGGTGCTTCGATAGCCGGCAGTGCTGCGGTCGTCGCCTGGAGTGATGCGTTTTTTTGAGGTCGGCTACACAGCTATGCGTGTATGACCGAACCAAAACACGTTTTTTAGAACCTCGCGTGATTTTTGAGCGAATTATCCATTACTCCACGTGTAAATTTATGGTAATTTGTGTAAATAGCGTGTTTTTTACCCTAAATACACGGGACTTGTTAACAGTGTAAGGCCGGCCTGACGCATCCGGTCGAGTATGATGCGAAGGTGCACGAGATGCTCCTCGAATGTTTCTGAAAGCATCGCTACGCCATTTATGTACGCCATTGCAAACTCGTGCCTCGCATCACCGAGGACAGCGTCCATTAAACAGGGTACACATGAGCGATGAAAACTGGCGCCGCACGGCAGTATCATAGCCACCGGTACTGGCGTCCCTTCGTCACTACCGTGCGTCGCGGCGTCGCTCGGATGTGACCAATAGAGATAAAGCGGCGCGGTGCGCCTATCGCGCCACAGTGGCTGACACGCGCAACACACGTGCGCCGCCCCCTCGCCTCCCTCTACGAGAGGGGCGAGGGAGTGGCTTCCTGTCGCGGCAACCGGGGACCGTGACCGCAGGTGCAAAGATGGGCTCCGATAAGAACCCGAAACCTAGAAACGCATATAAATTGAGCGTCCTTTCAAAACGCCGTGAAATGCCGCACTAGCCTTTTATTGTCCGAACAAGAGTTAATATAGCTGTTTCGATGATGCTTAGCAAGTTTCTAATTGGAGACATATCTCTATTGTCACATTGTCACTAATTAAACGGTTCATTAACACATTATACATGATTAGCCGGCTGATTGTTATGATTATTCACTTATAATATGTCCTTTGGCCGTATAGCTCACCTTCACAAACCGCGTAAGTATACGTTCACGGCTTTTCATTAACCGTATCTGTAAAACTTAAAACAAACACCATGTATATATTACACAGTAAAGTGGCTTCACGGACCGAGAGTTTGAAAGTATGTCGTACCGTTGCAGAGCATTCCATGCCTTTAAAGTAGAGGCTGCACTTTCGGCGTCATCTCAGGAATGAAACAAGTATAACTTTATGCAAAGCTTAAGTCTTCGGCAGAGCACTATGTAGTATTCTTCGAACTTTTGTGCTGAAGCTTCGTTTAGTGAATAATTTCAAACAGGAGGACGCACTAGGTCTCAGGTCGTGTTCATATAACGTTTCTCCATTGTAGAGAGTAAGCACAGAAATAGTAAAGTCGCATATGATCAACTTACAGCAACACATCCAAGGAATCATTTACAGTTTCGCTCGGGAGCTATTCAAGCCACAAAACAGAGAGAGAAGAATGGAACCAAACAATTGGAACCATCTGTATCTACTCTCAATATATGCCCGGAGAACACGAGGCAAGTGACCGCATGGACGCTCGACAAAACATTGTTTCCTTACCAGGATGTTGTGAATAAAAATCAATTGTTATCAAGCTTGATTAAACTAATTAAACTACTAAGTTAATATTTATTATTAAAACTAAAAAAAAGATCAAAATAATTATATAAATGATCTGCCTCTTGCAGCATGTACTAATATTTGTCTCAATCCCGCTTTTTTCTCTTGAGCACTACGTACATCATGCACTTTCTGGATGATCAATGTGCTGACAGCATATATTATTATGAAATGCTTTTGTGCTGTTACAGCTAAAGGGAAGACTAAAAATTCCAGTTTTCTAAAACCCCAAAAAATTTCCAAAAGGCTAGAACAGAATAATTGAAACCCGTATGGACATTTGAATGCCTCCTTTAGAGAAGGATCATTTAAGCGAGTTCGGTTGCTCATAAAATAAAGCGTTTCATAACTCTGCTGCAACGGGCAACGTTGTAAATTCTATGAGCGACCCGCATTAAGCAGGTTGCGATGGAAGCTGGGAATAATGTTTTGGGGGGGGGGGGGGGGGGGGGGGGGGGTCCTGACACCGGAAAACCCTCTTGGCTACGCGCTTACTGACGTCATCAATCGTGTAACTTTGGAGCATTTAAAATGTTCCCACACTCCCTTTTCTTGTCATTTTTTCCACCATGGGGTTAAGAAAAGTTTAACAATGTAATTAACGATCATTCTTGATATATAGAAGAAACAATTGATATCGAGAACATTGCAAGACCTTCACACTAGAGTAATGCAGTTCCTGTGCCACCTCAAAGATGGCATCAGTGTACGAGGCAGCGTGTTATCTCGTTACAAGAGGACGCAAGTCTACACAACGCATTTGGTTCCATAAAAACGCAAGGGTGTGAACCAGCCTTATGATGAAACTTCAGCGAGGGGGGGGGGGGGGGGGGGGGGCATTGCATTTGCCACCAAAGTTTTACTGCGCCCTCTATATTTTGAGGATATCACGCCTTCCAATGAAAGCTAATTGCCTTCCGGTATAATAAAATCTGATATTATTATCTAATTCGTTATGTCAAAATCATGAAAACATTTTCATGACTAATATATCATGATATTTTACCAAAAAACACATGAGACTTATGTAATTATGCGAGTTGAGGACTTATTAGATTAACCTATCGAGTAATCCATCCATGCACTTAACAAAGGTGTTCAAGCAAATATTCTGTCAAAATAAGTTTGGTAAATGGTTTGGCGACCCCTATCTAGGCTTGCCAAACTCAACATCAATAGCTTAATTACTGGCGAGAATTCTTTTCTTCCGCAACGCAGGGTGTTTAGCGTACCATGACTCGTATTCCCGAAAGTAAGTAATTTATTTTGTTTGCGTAGCTTGCGAAATAAGAGACAATCTAACAATTAATGTCATGAGTGTATGTACTGAAATTTGTTGCCTTCATGATAAAAATCTGCAAGGTACAACGTGTTATGTCTGTTTTAATGTTTTCTGTGAAACTTTATTTGGTACTTCACACTTCCCAATTACTCAAATAGTGCTTGGTAGCCATCAACTAGACGGAACTAGGAAGTACGAAATTTTTTTATCCTCTACTTCTGCCATCATCTCATAGAATTGGAATAAATGCGGCACAAGATAATAAATAAAATTAGGTTTGTTTCATAAATCGCATGCGGTTCTTTTATCTTTAGGGCTATATATAAATTTCGGAAAACGTTTGCACCTTATTCCATTTATACATTCACGATAATTATGTTTTACCGTCCTCCAGAATACACCAATTAACGCTACTAATATTTTAAACGTCACACATCAGCTCATGAACAGGGTTAGCAATTCAATTTAACTTTTCTTTAAGTATCGCACCATACTAATCTGAAAGAACATAATATTGTTTTCACTCAATTTAGAATTATATCAAACCGCTCTACCTTACCTTTTCTTTTTTTTTTTCTTTTTTAGTATGACATTGCCATCATAACACTGGAAAAGCCTGTGGAATATTCAGAATCTATTAAACCTGTTTGTCTCGCCGACATCAATGACAATCCGGATTGTAACGTTCCCATGTATGTTGCTGGATGGGGATTCACTGAACGTAAGATCAATTAATAAAGTTGTCATTCAAAACACACAAGGCTAATAATATAAAAAAACAGAAGGTATATTTTAAATTTTTCTGTGTCCACATCGAGTCAAGATGCTTGCGTGTAGTTATAATTAATGGGAAACAATTAGGAACAGTTGATGCCACCCGAGGTATTTATACTGGGGTTGCCATTTTACACTTAATAACAAGAAACAGAAATCTTTATCTTTGGGACTGTTGTTTTTAATCCTTATTAATGAACTTCGAAATAATATATTTTCATACTTCCGGCTATATGCTAATGACCCGTGTTGTTTACTGAAATATTGACGCTTATTCAGAATATATCATTATACAAGATAACCCTAATTGTACTTTCAGATGGCGTATAAACTATAAAATAGCGGTGGACTTTTGAAAATGCCACCATGTACCTCTTTGCCCATGAACTATAAATATTGAACCTGTAGTATTAGGTGACCAAGTGTAGTCCCTTGGCGTATACTACACTGAAACTCTTTCTTACGGGACACACCTAGGGTTGACACAGTGCTCAGAAAAGCTTCACGATTTTTTTTTAATATACGGCTACTACGAGAGCATCAGCAACTTTCACTTAGGCCAGGGTATTTTTGTCAAAACTGCCTTTGGTTAATGTTGCTGTATAACATGCACTCAAACAAAACAAAAATCGATAAGTGTAGATTTGGTACGTGCTATACTCCGTCTCACCCTGCGATAAACTAGGGCCCGAAAGCCGTTGGCCGAAGCACTACCTCAGAAAAACGCACATCCGCATTGCAAAAATGTGCGCGGGAGAAATTCCGATGCGCAGAGTACGAAGAGCACTAATTTTACGAAGATGGTTCTCTGTTGTGATAGGGCGGAATTTTATGTTGGTGAAGTAAAGGTACACGCTATTCAGTCTTATAAACATTCATGCAATATTTTGTAAACTTGTGAACTGTTTGGACAAGTTGGAGGGTACGCAGGCGGCACTGATAAAAAGTCGATTAGCCAATCCAATCTTTCTGTACGTACCCGGAACCGTATCTCGCATCCGCACGTTGTCCGTACATGCGCTCCCGTGCCGAACACTCGATCCGAATCATCTTCATTCCTTAATGGCCACTTTTTCTGATCTCGGGTTTTCTTCGCCACATCGCATCCAGCATTGGCTTTAGTCCCTTCAGCAGTCTTCAGTAGTAGTAAACAGACGGAGCCGCCGCTAGGGCTCGATAAGCAGACGGTAAACTTGCCTCCGCCTAGGCGTCTTGGCGCACTGATCCGAACGACGGAGGAAATATATTACGTGGCTTTTACCAGGCTCGACGTTAGACCCGCCGGCATGCAGCACTGGGCTTTAGTCCATCGTAGGATGAGACGGAGTATAGTCATACATTATTTCGCAAATTTCCGATCAAGATTGCAAAGTTAAAAATGTGAACGTTGTACGTGATCGACGATTCAAATAATCCTTCATTCCACCAATAGTTCAAGAATGAAATCGGATACACAGTAGCACAGCGTCAATAACATGTAATAATGTGCTTGCTTTACCTGTTAAACGCACGCCAATAGTACTCGCTTTCCTATGTGTTGCAAGATAACATACGGTTTGTCTTTCCCTAATACTCGAGTTTATTCATGCTACTGTTTTCGTGTGTTTGTGCCGAAGGCATTTTTTGCAAAATTCTATGGGTGATTTCATTTTAAATCGAACACGCTTGTCGGGGTGTGTCTTTTGATTTTTTTTTTAATATATGTAATTGCTGCATTTCTGGAAAGAACAAAACCGCTTTCCAACATTTTTTTTTTAATATTTCGCTTCACAAAAAATTATTGAGTGGAGCAGGGTGAAAATCTGTTTCTTACTGCGTGATTTTTCTACCCAGTTCTGTACGCTGGTATAAATACGGGAAGCATACAAAACTCACAGTAGTTTTTTGTACTCTTTTATGTTATTCGGACTATTTTTTAGTTCAAAGGACAATACTTTTGTAGCTTTGTTTATTGAGGTAAACAATGCCAAACATCGTCTCTTTGACGAACCGGTGACATCTTCAGAGCCTTGTAAATCATGAGTTATTATATTTGTCACTTATTAAATACTATGCGGGTGTAGCCCTATACATGGGCTATCGACGGGCATAAGTTTTGTTTATTTTACTTTCACTGAATTTTTTATATAAAATTTGAAATATCGTCGAAAATGAAATCAACCGATATTTTGAACTCACTTTATCAAAAAAGGACATTTTTTATTTCGTTCAATTTTTTTATTATTGCTGCCGATCATATGAACTTTCAATTGGCTTGATGTGATTTCCCCCTTTTTTTGTTGTATCTTCTCTAGAAGTGATCGAAATCGCTCCCACGAGACAATGCGGTGACAACTTCAGAGCCTTGTAACTCATGAGTTATTATATTTGTCACTTACCAAATACCATTCGGATGTAGCCCTACAAATGGAATATCGACGGTCATAAGTTTAGTTTATTTTATTTTCACTGAATTTTTTATATAAAATTTGAAATATCGCCGAAAATGAAATTAAGCGATATTTTGAACCCACTTTATCGAAAAAGGACATTTAATATTTCGTTCAATTTTTTTATTATTGCTGCCGATCATATGAAATTTCAATTTGCTTGATGCGATTTCCCCCTTTTTTGTTGTATCTTCTGTAGAAGTGATCGAAATCGCTCCCACGTTCTCAGAACAGCCAAACGCAGTTTCCGCAGGTTGGCCTTCGCTGCAAAGACTATACTGCTTATTTGTGTGTTCAAATGCAGCGGTTAAATTAATTTTGATTGAGAACACTCGTACTTGGCTACATTGTATTCTATTAATTTTTTTAATGATGGCAATTTACATTCCTTAGTCTGATATTTAGTGGTGCAGCGGATGTTCCATTATCCGATGTTTAAAGCCAGGGCACAAAGGGTGGAGAAAACGTAACGAGCTCTTCATGTAGCCAGACCGGGGTCATATATCTGTTAGTGCTATACACGGCTTGTAAGGCACGTACAGCACGCCCGGCCCTTCGCGCTATAGGCCCATCTTCGTTACACCCAGGAAGCATCGGGCGCGGGCGCCGATCTATGATGTGTCTTGTCGCGTGCGATCAAATGACCATGTAATCGGCTGTTCTTTATTGTCAGCGTGTATATCAAAAATATGTAATATCACATGCCCCTCTTCAAGAAGAAAAAGCTGTTTGCAGAAAAAAAGTGAGGAAAACGGACTGAGTTTACTTGAAGCGAAGACAATTTTTTACAGAACACAAACACCAATTGGCGATAAATAGTCACTTTTATTAATTAACGCTAATATATTTAGGATGCACTTGTAAAACAATATGTTGTTGTGCTTTAAATACTCCAGTTCACGAGCAACGCAATACTGGAACTTTTTGACGACGGCATTGGCTTGCCTGTGGAGACGATCGAGCGCGGGGGCGAGCTGAACTTTGTACCGCAGCGGTCAGATGCACCCCAGAAGTTCAACAGCGTGGGAATTCGAGACGAACAGAACGAAAACTCGAGCCAAAGCGAGAACCTGACAGTGGCCCTTCTGTTTGAACAAGTGTGTGCAGTTAAAAATAAACGTGTTGGGTTTTGTTCAAGACTGATCGATATCTTTGATGCCAAGAAGCAAGGATTCCCACATGCACAGAAGGCAGCGAAAGCAGTCACTTAATGTCTCTGTAGATTTTTAGTTCCTCCACTTTGTCGCACCGAGCTTAATGCAAAGATTGTACAGGTATATGACCCCGGTCTGGCTACATGAAGAGCTCGTTCTGTTTTCTCCGCCCTTTGTGCCCTGGCTTTAAACATCGGATAATGGAACATCCGCTGCACCGCTAAATATCAGACTAAGGAATGTCAGTTGCCATCATTAAAAATTAATAAAATACAATGTAGCCAAGCACGATTGTTCTCAATCGAAATGAATTTACCCGCTGCATTTGAACACACAAATAAGCAGTATAGTCTTTGCAGCGAAGCCGACCTGCGGAAACTGCGTTTGGCCGTTCAGAGGACGTGGGAGCGATTTTGATCTCTTCTTGAGAAGATACAACAAGAAAAGGGGGAAATCGCATCAAGCCAATCGAAAGTTTATATGATTGGCAGCAATATTAAGAAAAAAATTTAACGAAATAATAAATGGCCTTTTTGGATAAAATGGGTTGAAAATATCAATTAATTTCATTTTCGACGATATTTCACATTTTATATAAAAAATTCAGTGAAAATAAAATAAACTAAACTTATGCCCGTCGCTATTTCATGTATAGGGCTACACCCGCATAGTGTTTGGTAAGCGACAAATACAATAACTCATGAGTTACATGGCTCTGAAGTTGTCACCGCATTGTCTCCTGGGAGCGATTTCGATCACTTCTAGAAAAGATACAACAAAAAAATGGGGAAATCGCATCAAGCCGATTGAAAGTTCATATGATCGGCAGCAATAATAAAAAAATTGAACGAAATAAAAAATGGCCTTTTTTGATAAAGTGAGTTCAAAATATCGGTTAATTTCATTTTCGACGATATTTCAAATTTTATATAAAAAATTGAGTGAAAATAAAATAAGCAAACCTTTTGCCCGTCAATAGCCCATGTATAGGGCTACACCCGCATAGTATCCAATAAGTGACACATATAATACCTTATGAGTTACAAGGCTCTGAAAATGTCACCGGATTGTCAAAGAGACAATGTTTGTCATTTTTTACCTCAATAAACAAAACTACAAAAGTATTTTCCTTTAAACTAAAAAAATTTTCCAAATAACATACAAGAGTACAAAAAATTACTGTGAGTTTTGTATGCTTCCCGTATTCATACCAGCGTACAGAACTGGGTAGAAAAATCACGCAGTAAAAAACAGATTTTCACCCTGCTCCACTCAATTATATTTTTGTGAAGCGAAATATATTTTTAAAAAATTTTGGAAAGCGGTTTTGTTTTATCCAGAAATGGGGCAATTACACATATTTTTTCAAAAAAAATCGAAAGACCCACCCCGACAAGCGTGTTCGATTTCAAATGAAACCACCCTAATATATTTTAACGACTCCCGTGATGGTGCCTTGCGGCGCTGCAATATTCGCTATTCCAGGAAACTATAGGGGGCGTTTTGGTCAGACGAAATGGCGGACGAAAGAAGGTCGTTTTCGTCGTTCGCAAAGCTCGTAGAAAACTACGTTATGAAAGAACTTTTTAGGAATGATACCAGACTATAAATTTAGTAAATATGACGTGATCGCCTCATCTGCCGTAGTGTGAAAAAACAAAATCAGATTTGGACAGCAAATCAAAGTTGAGGCAGCTGAATTCCTGTCAAAGTAATTTATGGCTTTATTATTCATATAAGCAGATAAATAAAAACAATGTATTTTACCAGAAAGCGCAAGGCAGTTATTTTGGGAGAATGATTTCGGCATGCGCTAGAATCGCATAGAAATGATCCCCTTTTAAAAATATCAACAAAGCAAACAACACGTAATTTTAAATGTTTCTTGCTCACTGGCAAAATTGGCATGACATTATGAAGCGCAGTTGTGATGGGAAGGCACCAAGTTAAAAAAATGAAAGCCGTTTACCACTCCCTCTAACGCCGAATTAGAGCGCAGCTCTTGAGGAGGAGTAGAGAAGGGTACTGAGGGTCACGTGACCTCAGGGGGGGGGTCACGTGACCCCTTAAGTCACTTGACCCCCCAGAGAAATCTTTCCGCTAGATTTAGTGGGGAAATTTTTCCGCTAAATTTAGCGGGAAATTTTTCTGCTAAATTTAGCGGGGAAATTTTTCCGCTAGATTTAACGGGGAAGTTCTTCCGCTAGATTTAGCAGGGAAATTTTTTGGCTAGATATAGCGGAGAAATTTTTCCGCTAGATTTAGCGGGGAAATTTTTCCGCTAGATTTAGCGGGGAAGTTTTTCCGCTAGAGTTAGCGGGGAACTTTTTCCGACACATTTAGTGGGGAAACATTTCTCCTAGATTTAGCGGGGAAATTTTTTTCTCTCGATTTAGCGGGGAAATGTTTCCGTTAGATTTCGCGGGGAAATTTTTTCCGCTAGATTTAGCGGGAACATTTTCCGCTAAATTTAGCGGGGAAAGTTTTCGCTAGATTTAGCGGGGAAATTTTTCCGCTAAATTTAGCGGGGAAATTTTTTCGCTGGATTTCGCAGGGAAATTTTTTTGTTTGATCTAGAGGGGAAATTTTTCCGCTAACTTTAGCGTGGAAACTTTTCCGCTATATTTAGAGGGGAAATTTTTTCGCTAGATTTAGCGTGGAAATTTTTCCGCTCAATTCAGCGGGGAAATTTGTCGCTAGATTTAAAGTGGAAAGTTTTTCGCTAGATTTAGCGGGAAAATTTTTCTGCTAAATTTAGAGTGGAAATTTTTCCCCTAGATGTAGCGGGGAAATTTTTCCGCTAAATTTTTTTCCGCTAGATTTAGCGGGGAAATTTCCCCATGATGGACCGCGCGGTTACGCCGACGGCGACGGCGACGGCGACGCCGCTTAAGCCGGAAACAGGCGCCTAAGAGCTGCGCTCTAAAACAAAAGTGAACTCTCGCTTGCTGGTCCCACTAACTTTTATTCGTGTCACTCCATACTGTCCAACGCCCCGATGCAAGAACCAAATTTGCAAAACTGTTCTAATATACGTCTGCATTGGTTTAAAAAACGCATAAAGACATTGTCGTTATAATGTGTACCCTAAAGTCCTCAGCGTGTGTATCAAACCTCAAGATAGCAATTGTGATGTATGGTGCCAAAGAGCAATAAAATCGTCTTCGCTCCGGATACGTCCACGGCACACTGTTTTGCCAATGCCTTAATGAATTTGATGAATATTATAGTTTATAATTATACATATATTTCACCTGGGGCTACACTCGGAACAGCTTGCTGTAATCATTTAACGATGTTGATGCACTCCTAGATACTAGCACCTGTAGAATACAGCTACATTAATCAATCTCTCTTCTTCTTTTTTCTACTTTTTGCAGCGGTCATGTGGAATAACCAGTCTTGGTCTGAAGATGGGGACGGGTTTGATGACGAAGAAGACTTGACAACAGTAACCTCCAGCTCCGAAATGACTACACAAGAAGCAACTGAAGGTGGGGTATACCTAGGGTGTGCATTTTCCGGTTTTAACCGAAAAACACCGATAAACATCCGTCGGTGACGAAAATACAAAATCGGTTAAAACCGAAAAACACCGGTGGTTGAATATTTTCGCCCTGGTTAAAACCGAAAAACACCGGTCGTTGCTAGTTTCCGACCTAGCGAAACCCTTTCCACGTACAGGTTCGTCAAACGTGTTATCTCGTGGATCCTGCATTCTTCCAGTGTTTATACATGGCTTGCAGGTGGCGTCAGTCCGCCCTTCTTTCTGGGGGTCAAAAGCGTGTAGTGAACGCAGTGGAAGCTAAGCCATACGCCTTTCCCCTATTGTGTCTCCCATGGCCCCCTTTTGGGGAAAAATTAACACAGTGGAGGGTAGGCTCTCACGTGCCTTTTCCTCATTGTGTCTGGCCAAGTGATGTCGGTGCAAGCCATGTATTCAGAGGTTGCTGTGGTTCCTGGAAGACACTGCCAACGTCCGTGTCGTACAGGAGCGTGCGTTTTCATAATTGCGGGTTGCGAACCGCAAGGAACGTGCTGCCATGACGGCAGCACGTTTCTTGCGTGTAGATGCAAGCATGAAAGTATGCTTGCATCTACTATGATAACCAAGTGTTAGAAATAGTTGCTTCCTAGAGGAGAATGTATGAACTATGTGAATAAAATTGGAACTCACTGTCTGTGATAAATCGCTTTTTTTTTCACCGATATTCACTGATTTTAGCCTCGTCGTGAGACGTTCCACCGAAATACACCGGTGTTTTGAAAATAAATAAACACCGAAAAACATCCGCCGATTTTTCTCACAAATAAACACCGGAAAGTACACACCCTAGGTATACCCATGCACTCAGATGTGTTTAAAAGGGCACTAACAGGTCAAAATAAGATTTCCTTTTCAATCGAAAATGATTGAAAACGATGCCTGGACATTATCCTCAAACGTCGAAACCTGGGAATTCAGTATTTGTGTAGTAAAAAAAAAAAACAATAATTTCCCAGGGCCGAATTTGAAGTTCCCACGCGATCCGCGCTAGTGCAGTGTCGTCAAATATTGAGTCCTCCTACCACTCAAATTTCTTTCATGCCTCCGAACCATCCTGACCCAAAGTGTCGTGTTCCCCCGTCTCCTGCGATCAAACTCTCTTCTTCGTGCCCGCCGCCTGTTGCTGTGAGCAGACGACGCTTCACTTTGAAGTTATTCCAGGGCTCCTCAGCGATCTCGAATTCTTAGAAACAGTGTGAGGTCGAAGTTGACGCGCAATGTACTTTGTCAGCGACCTGAGGGGCCACCTCGCGCCGTTTCCGCTTGAAACGCTGCCCCGGCGGAGTCAGAGCCGGAACTACGGTAAAAACATACCAAACCCAGTTTTTCTTTGTTTGACGGTTTTCTTTTTAAAGTCTAAAAGGTCATCGGGCGCTTAAAAATGAGAACTTCGCCCGATTCGCCTCTCACCGATACTTCTCAGTGCTTTATCTGCCGTGCGCCGCCAGCGCCGCCAGCGCCGCTATGCTTTCCCAAGGGAGGATAAAAAGCCAGGAGTTGACGTCACTCCGGGCTCTGATTTTCGGTATTGCCAAAACAAGGGCCGTATGGCGTTCGCAATTGCTTTCAAAAACATGTTTTACGAATGTCGTTATTAAATATTATGAAAATGTCGCTTACAAAGCTTCTAAATGTCATATTTTTGGCGTAACAAATAAGGAGCTACGAGAAGCTCAAAAAAGAGAAAGCCGAAAAAAAAAAGCACGAGCTTGTGGGAAAATGTTGTTTGCGTTGTGGTATTTTTTCTGTCTATGACTACAACTTTTATCGTTTGAAACAAAAAAAAAAAAAGAAAAATACCTTTCGGGTTTTAATGTCCTTTTAAGAACATTGCTGCGTTATTAGCTTGCTTATAAAAGCGCCTTACAGCTTAGGTTACCGTATCCATTTGGATCAATGCTTCTGGGACATAAACACTTCAAATCTCTAATACAATCATAACTTTATTTTCACTAGCTATTCCTCTCTCTCCATACTGGCATTCTTAGTATCAATACGATTCTGATTCCGCGATATTCTTGGTGCTAACAAATAACTGTAGATATAGAGATACACTGCCAGAAGCAATATAATACTAACAATATAGCTCGCTAGTACTACTTTAATTTGAAAACTCAAAAGTACGGCTGTAATGCTTAAACTCGCCTTCAACACGTTTTGAAATGTGTTCCAGCATTGCAACTCTCATCATCTCATCATTTAATTTTCGGGGATTTAAATCCGGGCACCCTATCTTCAGCGACGTCCAAGAAATATGCTCTTGAACATACCAAAAAAAAAATTCCTCTTGATGTTAATGCAATTAATACAAGGGTGCAAGCGAGCTGGACAAGAATAACGATAATAATCCCTGAAAAAAAACACAATTCTCCAAACACAGCTAGGTTACTGGTGCACGACTGCAAACATTCCCTTTGCCCTTGTATCGAACCAGGCACGTCTTCATTTCCAGTGCAGTGCTCTACCAACCGTGACCAGGTGGATTTTTAGTCGCATAGAAGCCCCTTAGCTGTGTTTAGAGATTTGTGTATGCCCTTTGTTCTACTTGCTTTCCTTTTCCAGAGAATTAATATCGTTAAGATTCCCTCATACCACGAACGCTAAACTATTTTAGCTGGAAAGAAAATACAGATATACTAAACTCAATTTCGGATTAAAAACGTCCTTGCACTTTTTAATTTTTTTGTATGAAACTCTACTCAAATCATGAAGATCAATCTAGCAAGATTGAGCTTATTTAGAAACTTTTTGACGGTTTCCAAATTCAATTCGAATTACAAAGAATATATTATGGTCAGCTTAATCGTTCGGATTCCATCTGATTTCATATTATAGACACAAGCGAGACTGACGAAGACTACTATGATCCTGATACGGCGCCAGTGCCCCGGGCCAAAAATAAAATTCCTGATATGCTCCAAGAGGCCCGAGTTCAGTTAATCCCAAATGAGGAATGCCAAGGGATGTATAACGAGTCGTCACTTCATTCAAACATCCTTTGCGCTATGCACAACTTTGGATCTACATGCATGGTGAGGACAAGCATTTTTTAGTAACATATGCACAATTAAGTTCAAATAAGGCAAGTATGAAAAATAAAAAAAACGATATTCTTTCCGGAGCGCTTTAAAAACATTCCGATTCAAAATCTCCGCAGTCAATCTCGATATATTACGTAAGTGTTCGCAGGCGCTGAACGGCGCTAAAAAAACATATGGCAGCCCAAGGAGTGCAGGCACTCCCGGTAATATTACTACTGGAAATACTCCGAATGCAACATTTTCTAGCGACAGCAATTAAAAGGGCCCCGCAAAGACTTCTTTATTGGTTTTTAATTTGCACCGTACCTGTGCGCTCTGAACGTAGTAACTTAGTGAAACTTTTCTTTTCTCAAAATTCGTTTTATTTTAAAAGTTATAGGAAAATTAAAATTACAAAAACAAGTAAAAAATAACCTCCCTCATGACGTCCTTGGTTGCTTGAGTGGTCGTGAACTAGTGGAGGGATAGTGAGCTCATTGAGCGCTCACGCCTGCCACACTCCTTGTTGACGGCGCAGGAGGGCGCCACTAAAGCATGGTCTAGATAGGCTGCATGCAGCGGGGTGCCAGAGCGGCTCTCATTGCATTTGCTGCGCGATTAAGCACTAACCCGGCATGACACTTCATTGGCCACAAACAACAGCAAACACGGGGTAAATATCGGTTCAGAATGGGAGCCACTTCCCGCTACCACACCGCGAACCGGCCAAACCGCAAGACAAAGCTTCTTGCCGAAGGCCTTTGGAACGCTCGGAGCCGGTCGGATCCTCCTGTCCATACGACCGCAGCGCCGCCGCGTACATCTGGGACCCTTCCCTGTCGGCGCCTCATCCCACTACTCCTTTCTAGTATGCGCCACCTTTTCCACCGCTTGGTGGCGGGTATCTCGACGGGTCATTTCTTGTTTCTGTTCTTTATAAACTGCATTCGTTTCTTTTCTGATCTAAAATACTGAACAAAATCTACTTTTATAAGTAATTGAAACGGTTCGCGCCACTTATACATTCTATTTCGACTTGAAGCTTTTAGCAGTTCCGACCAGTAGTAAGCCCAGGACCAAAGACGTCACATTTTGCGCGCTTTCGGTACCGCGGGTCGCCCTCGTCGGTGGAGGAGGTTTCCGCGTCGTCCGGTTAAAATATGACGCACTGATATTTAGTTGCTCTCTCCGTGCCCGCTGGCTTGCCCGAACCCCAAGAGACGTGGAGATCGCAAAAAAGGTACATGCTCAGATATGATTGCAGGGCCCCTTTAAGAACGCTGTCAATTGTGCTCGCGGAGATAATGAGAGTAAGAGGGAGTATCTTCCAACGCCCTACTGCCAGCAAACGTTCTATGCCTTCCACCGTGCTTTGGCGGCGCACGCGCTTTCGTGTGCACGAGTCGCCAAAGCGTCGTCCCAGGTCGGAGGCTCGTGCTGGAGGCGAGACAAGTAAAGCTACTCCCTGCCGTCATTCCGCACCTGCATCCCTACAACCACTACTTTAATGGACATATTTCTTTTTGAATCGGAAGTCACGTGACTTGTCTGTTTGTTTTTTTTTCTTTCTTTTATTTATTACGTCATACACTCTCAAGCATACACTCTCAAGCATACACTCTCAAGAAAAAAGGGTGTAGCTAAGCATACACTTTTAAGAAAAAAGGGTGCAAACGTGTGCATTCTTACACCCTTTGTCTCCCATAATACACCCCAAAACTTCAATTCGACGTACAGCGCACTACAGTCGAACAGACGTCCCGACATTTTACGAGGGGCTTGATAGCCGTGTGGTACAACTTATTAAAATAGCTAATGTACGTTTTACTGACTACAAAAAAATATATATAATCGGGGTTTTCTTAACCCTACTGCGAAAAGCTCGGTGTTTTTTTTTTTTTATGTGGTTTTTGATACGTACCTTAGCTGTTTAAAAAGTTATATTGCACCCTTATCAATCCCCTCGTGAAATTTCGGGCCGTCTGTTCGACTATAGCGCTCAGTACGTTAAAATGAAGCTTTGGGGTGTATCATATGGGACAAGGGGTGTAACGATACATCAATTTACATCCTTTTTTTCTTGAGAGTACCAACAAACCCCAAATGCTCAGCATTCTGCCTATACTTCGTTCACCCCTAAGCTGACAGTGCAGTGGGAGCAGCTGCACGCTCGCCGGATCACTCAACCGCTTCCCTCTCACCAACTGACTCCGCTCTCTGCTCGCTAGTATGGGCGGAAGCGCGATTGTGTGGAAAAATACAGGCATGGAACTGGTCCAACAAGCACGTTGATTCCTCCGCACTGTCAGTTTATGAGTGAACTCGGTATAGAAACAAGCTCCGAGAAATAGGAGCCCAGGTGTATTCACACTTTCTCTGTGACCCCCAGACGAGCTCTTCGATGTACTGCTCTCTGAGGTGATCACGGAAGTTTGATTGGCAATTTTAGAACTGATTGTTATAACTTCTAAATAGGGCTGGGCAAATGAGCGATTAACCTACCGATTAATCGATTAATGCTTTAATCGCGATTAAATTTTTTAACTGGTTAATCGGTAAAATTTAGACGAACCAAAAAAAACTCAAAATTAAACACTTCCATAACGCAGACGTGGACGAATACGCCTGTACGAAGGGTGACCTTTAAGTCAAATTTTTGAACAAGGTAAACTGTACAGGGGTGATATTTTTATAGCATCCGATTAAGTACAGAGGTTACGCACGTCCCCGGCCATTTCTACGTAGTTCGAGTGTCTGTTTAGCGCAGTAGGGATTATTGTGAACAATGAAAGGAAGCCGCTCTTTCTAGAGAATATCAACGAACATCTTTGCCTCACGCGGCAAAAGTAATATTTAGCGAAAGGTCTCTGATACTCTTCTTAACTACATATCGAGATTAATTCATAATCTAAGTTGTACATTGCACCGTTTATCACAGATTCAGCAAAAAAAGGACTTTTTTTTAAATATTTTGCAATGAAATAAACGAGACCAATTAATCGATTAATTAATCGATTAAAGGGTGGCGATTAATCGGGTTAAAACTTTTAATCGACGCCCAGCCCTACTTCTAAAGCTTCCAGAGTAGCGGACAGAAAAGTGTTAGTCAAACAGGACAGACAGCAATAAGCATTTAAGTCGGCAGTTTGGTGTTTATATAGTTTCGCCTGTACTGCTTTCAGTAACATTGGGAATTATAGACTAAACCCGTTCCACCACTCAAATATTTGTTAATGTCTAGTGGCTCCTGTTTTGAGCTACAACACAAATTAAAGTTGCGTGGCCGTGCAGACAGGTTTCTTTCCATGTGCCTTCCAATGAGAGTACGCTTATTAGTAAATAAAGCCACGGGTTTTTTTGACACGAAAATGGAAGGCGTCAAAGTAGCGCGATGGCTTCCCCACAATGCGCTATATCCTAATTAGACGTGAACGAATGTAAATTAGCTTCCGCGTGGGTTTCCGCTATTTAAGCCCTTTAATTTGTTCTATTCGCCTTTTGATTCTTAAACAGGGCGACAGTGGAGGCCCACTGGTGTACAATACAACAGATGGCCGCTGGACCTTGATGGGACTAATAACCGCTACCAAGTTGCCATGCAACGTCACCGATCTCCCGATGTACTTCGTTAGAATTAAGCCCTTCATGAACGACTTCATCCTTCCGTGCGTTCAAGATCCTAGTAATTGCACATGCAAGCCAGCAATTGATACAGAATCCTGCATTTATATTTAGTGCCTTTTTATTAAAATCTAAAAACCGGTCATATCTTTATGTTAATAAAACAAAGACTGAGATCATCTGTGCAACCTTCGGGCGAAATCACTTGTGTTGCATAGGTGCTTAGCGTTTTAGAGACAAAATAAAATGTGTCTGCTTTTTGCATCTAGTTACCGAGTGTGTCCGCGTTAAGACCACATATCAAGCAGACGTTCAATATACCAAATTCGTTAGAATAGCAACAGCAGAAACGTGCTTCTTCTGCATAAGCTTCAAAGCGGCAAAGCTAGCTAATGCCGGAAGTGCCGCAACGCTGATAGTGATGATGATCGGCCTCGACGACGACGGAGTGGCGTGGAGTGCTGATTTCGCGGGTCTCTAACAAGGCGGCTGCTGTCATGCTGTTCCTGACTTCCTGCGACATGGTTGCCCTCTGGCTCCTGCTAAACTCCTGGCCGTCCCGAAACCTGGTCGGGACGGCGAGGAGTTAATGATGTTTCTGAGACAATAATTCAGAGGCTTTTAAACTGGCCATGGGACGCGCGATGTGTCCAAAAGTTTATACTTTTCGAGTGATTTCAGCGAACGATGATAGGATACTGAAAGTCAACAATTTAATTAATCGGTTACAGGTTATCAATTCGCAACAAGTATGGGTTACTTGTGGTAAATCCTTTCCCAATTTCCTTCACTTCTAAAGCCGCAGTTCGCTGCCGTGGTTGTTGCGCAAATGAAGAAGTTACAGAAAGATTGTCAGTTTCTTCTGAGAACTGGGTAATTTTAAATCCCGTAAAATATTGTTCCTGGAAGCACGGGACCAATATTTAGGGTGGTGATGCGTGCTAGTTGGTTCATGCTTAGTAGATTCGACACAGGGAATAACAAATGCAGACAAATTAGAAGGTGAGCACAGGACAAGCATTTATACTCGAGTCAAGTTTTGATTGAAAATTAACACCGAAGTGAACAACAGCATTCACAGCCAGCATGGCCAATTCATCACGTGTCCGGATATTATATCTGTTCGCTATGTAGAGGGACCGATGTTTGGCCTAGACGCTGCCCAGACTCTTTCTTGATTTTCTGGGCCTCTAAACTTTCGCTAGCTGTCTGAGCTCTCTCCCCCCCCCCCCCCCCCCCCCTTCCAGCAATCGTGACGTGATGGAAGACGGGCTGGCATCCACGATTTGCCCAATGAAGCGCGAAGTGCCCCCATCTGTCGAGCGTAGAGACCAAGCATGCATTGCTCACCCAATATTTCATTTACACATCGGCCCGTTCGGCCGACGAATACCTCGCCGCACGTCAGCTGAATCCTTCCTATACACGACGCCCGTCGTACTACTATCGCGGACAATATGAGCTGAAACAGCAGCTCCGGCTTGTGCACGATACCACCTGCGCCGCCTGTCGCATCGCTCCCTAAACACCGCGCATCCTGAGGCCGAGATAAATTTTCACTTGCGCTCACTGCGCCGCTGCCCTCTTCCGGCCGTCTGCTAGCGGCACGGCACACCATCTGGATGCGTGTGCCGTGGAGCCCAATGTTCACATTTTCAGCGAACATGCATTTCACGGCATTTCAAGAAAGCGCCGAAGTGGAAAATGCGTTGTCACGCTCGTATCTCCTCGAGGTGTGCTGCCTGACGAAGCTGCCTTGGTTTCTAAAAAAAGCCGATCTGAATATCATCGAAAACATTTGGAGGCGCATCAAGGTAGCCATGTCACCACGTCCCCTCCACCGCGCCAAGTGCCCACAAAGTGTGGAAAGCAATGAGGTAAATGGGAGTGACTTCGGGCTGAGCCAGACTTCGTTGCCGCGCTCTATGATTTCTAACCAGACAGGATGGGAGCCGAGGCCGCGGGTAAGGGAAGAATGACGCGGTATTAAATTATTTTGTAAGTTTTACTGCGTCTCAGGACCCCCTGAAGCGGACTTCTGCCGATAGGAACAAAGCTTGATGCTACGGTTGCGACACATGTACTAGTACTGTTTGACGCCGTTAACCACGCATACGTTTGTGTGGTGCCACCTTGATCCCGATTTTCTTGTATAGTGCAGATGAACTTCCACGCCGACTGGTAATCTTTTGTGTATGACATTGTCCTCTGCAAATATTCTTTCGATGAAGTTTCAATCTCCTTCTCCTGGCAAATATGTGACTGTTCGTCCCACTTTATTATACTAGAAATTTGTAAAAAAGAAAAAGAACTGGTGTCTTGTCAGCAACTTGCTTTGTTTGAAACAAACATATGGGCCGAGTTATACAGAAATGATATTTTTCATCCATTTTTTATTCTTTGCATACCAGTCAAAGTTACAAAACCTTCTCAGTAACATGTATCCGCTTACCGTTATTTAAACATCTGTGATCAATGAAAAAAAAAAAAAAAGTAAATACATTGGAGCTGGACTAAATCCGGCATGCAGATTTTGACCTATAATTTACGATGTCATACTTTGTACGTGCACTTATAATGAGACAAAAACAACCTGCAACGTCTTTTGGTGTGACTTTCAAAAACAATAATCGCAGCTGAAATTTAAGACACTTCAATATTTTTTCTTCCCCAGTCAGCGTTTTTCTACGGGATTCTGCGCGATAAAGTAAATCAATTACAAAAAACAGGCGACAAGTGTAATGTTTTGTTCCCCCCGCCGCCCTACCACACACATGCCCGCTGTCGCACCCGCCGTCTCGCTTGCAGACGGCCGGAAGAGCGCAGTGGCGCAGCGAGCGCAAGTGAGAATTTATCTCGTACTCAGGGTGCGCCATGTGTGCGGAGCAAGGCGACAGGCGGCGCAGGTAGTACTGTCCGCCGGCCGCAGCGCTCTTTCAGCTCATGTTGTCCGCGATAGTACATTCCACATGTTTGTCCCTATATTTGACTGCGCAAATGCGCTTGGATACAATTTTGTTGGCAAACCTTGGGCACAATTGCGCGAGTTTGCTAGCTGCAGAAAACACCATAAGCGTGTCGTATATCTGGGCCACTTTTAGATTGTGTGAGATTTGATGAAGGTAGGGAATGAATATCGCTCTGTTATTAGGCCTATCTTTTTTTGCACTGTAGCCATCCCCTCACTTTCTTAAGTAGCGACTCTGGAACAGGTACAAACGACGATGTGGGGAATCCAGCCGCAACCAGTTGCTCCAGCTGCCGGCGGAAACTGGCATACATTACATGGTCGCATGATTTCTCCGAAACCGCATGTAGGCAAGATGAAGCAATACCCTATTTTTACGAGTTTAGAATACGAAGAGTCGAAAGGAAGGAGAACCTTCTTCTAACTGGGGTTTTACGACCAGCAGACATGACTGCTTGGGCGCCATTTATCCCCGTGCGAGTGAAGCGCTCTGTGCGCCGAATATAATGTGGTCGCCGCGTCGGGCAGAGAGTCATCACCTAAATGTATCTTACACCGTGCGTCCGGGTTACCATTTTTCGGTTGCTTCAAAGAGTAAAGAGTCGTAAAAACTCAATTATACCATATATTTGGGTAATTCTGAAAACACACTGCTGAAAAACCCCGACATAATTTGAAAGGCTACCACACCAAGCTTGTCAATGCACTGAGCTGTAGACTTTCAAAATAAACCGGGGATTTCTACAAGTGGCTCTTTAGATATTCTCAGTTAGTCATCTTTGGCAACTTTTATTCACTATGATGGCAAGCATTACTTGAAAAAACAGGGCATATGTATCACGTCAGTCCTCAGCAATATATTTTAGCACAAATTGATAGCACTCTTAGCAGCCGGTTTCAAGGGTCCAAATTACAGGAAGTTTTAGATACGTGGATGATTCCATAGATTTTACTGCTTAAAATACCAACGCGTTTGAAGCAGAGACTGCGAAAACCATGACCACTTTAAGTAATGTGTCTGCATGCTCGACGCCACGCATGAAATGCGCGTAGACAACTCTATGCGCTTTCTTTAAGTCAGGTTTTTATTTCTCGAAGATGACATCCGCCCGCGCATAAGCCGCTGCTTCCTTCTCATTCAGCAAACTCCAAGCTGATCAAAATAAGTATTGTAAGCCTCTGTCTGAACAATGCATTCAAACATTCCACTGAGCATTTCACCTCTGCTGGATTTGAGCAGCACACAATGCGGTTGGCCGCAGCTGGGTACTCCAATCAGATTCTTGTTGCGGTTGCTGCAGTCCTTCTAGAAAATCACTGTCTCAAAAGAAAACAGTGGAAGCCAACAGGCGATAGAGAAAGAAAAAGTTGTTGTTATATGGTATATTCACCACCGTGTCGCACAATTCGAAGAAAATCCCTTTACAGTCAAGTGTAAAGGCAGTGTTTTCCGCGCCCAATACGCTAATCAAATTGTGCAAACGAACAAAGCTTGACGTGCCTGCGAAACACGGATGCGAAAAGAAACACTGAACAATAATTCTTGACTGCCACGCATTTCAAGGTATATCGCAATCCGCTGTCTTCTTTCGTGCAGTACGTCGGGCAGACGGGGCGATGCCTAAATAATAGGCTTCGCAGGCCCTCTAACAATGTGCAGAAACACAAGGATGGGTTTCTTGAGATGCACTGCAGGGCATGCGGCTATGCAACACTATTTGATGGATGCGTTACACGTGAAATTGTAGAAGCTGATCCCAATGCGGAGGGCAAGTTCGTCTGCTTCTTGCGCAGGGGGTAGCGGTGACGTCAGAACGCCGAGCCCTGATTGGCTGATCGCGACCCCCTACCTGAGCGTCGTCTTCTCCTTTGCAACGTCGTCTGCGTCTGTCTTACATTTCCTGCGACTTTTGAAAGTGCAGAGGCCAGATTTACGAAACGATTTTACGCCAAAAATGTGCGTAAGACAAAACTTAAGAACAAATTCGTATTCACGAAACGAAATTTTCGTAAGTTCTGCGCAGGTTACGAGGAAAATCCTACGACAGCTCCGAAGCTGTCTTACGCACTTCTTACGATCAAATCAGCATGGCCGACAGCGTCGCAGTCGCGACGACCCACGGACGTTTATTTTCCTACGTGCGCTTATCACGCGTCCCGACTTCAAGCAGCAAGAAAAAAGTAAAAAGCACTT